TGCCCCGTGGGTGCAGGTGGGCGAGGCCGCTGCCCGCGGAGGGCTGTGTGCTGCCGCGCTGACCACCGCCAGGGCCGGAGCCATCCCAGGGCCGCGCCCCGCCCCCGCGTCTGCAGCCCGCCCAGCGCTGGCCCCTGCCTCGGTCTCCGGCTGGGTCACCGTCTGCTCGTCCGCTTGGCCCGGCCTGGCCTGGCCGACCCTAGGTGCTCCACGGGCTTTGAGTCTGCTCCCTGCCCTCGCGGTGCCCTCCAGCAGGGCGGGACGGGCCAGACCGGCTTGCAGAGGCTGGGGCTCGCAGAGGCTGGGGCTCGCAGAGGCTGGGGCTCCAGAGAGACTCACCTGGGCGAGAGGCAAAGGCACGGAGGAGCCCCTCTGGCCCGAGCCCTGCTTCGCCCTGTCGCTCGCAGCTGCGGTCCGGAGAGTGTCCAGCGCCGGTCCTGTCTCGGGTGGGGTCCTGGGGTCCTCCGTCCCTGCAGCTGGCCGCAGTCCTGCCCCAGGCCTGGAAGCAGGCGGGCAGAGCAGGCAGGAGGGGAGCCCCTGGGGCTGTCTGGCACCACGGCAGGGCCCAGTGTGGTGTCCGCGCCGGGCGGGGTGGCCCCTGCCGTGGCCCTGGGCTGGCTCAGGGAGCCCCCCCGGCACCTCTGGGGCCTGTCGGGAGGAGGCTCTGCCCTTACCAGCCCGCTGGCCGTCCCTGCCCCTGCGCCGCGGCCGCCGCCTGGCGGTTCCCAGTGACTCTGGGTGCGTCCTTTTCCCGAGGTGTCCAAGCCCCTCCGGGCTGCCTCGCCCCAGTGCGTCCGTAGTACCTTGCTTGGATTTGAGGCTTGGGCCTGGGTACGTGCTCAAGGGGGACCTGCTTTGCACCCCCAGAATGAGTCCCGCTTTCTTCCTCCAACTGGCCGGACATGGAGGGAGCTGGTACCCTGGGAGGCGGCCCTGAGCCCCCAGGAGGAGCCGGTGGGGGCCCTGCTGGACCTACTCCGCAGCCCGCAGTCGCCCTGGGCCCTGGAGGAGGGCGCCCACGCGGAGGACGGCTTCCTGAGGGAGCTGGCCGTGCGGCGACCCCTGGCCATCGGGGAGGCCTTCTTCTACACCTACTTCCGGTCCCTGCGGGTGGTGGACAAAGAGGTGGGTGTGCTGGCTGAGAGCAGGTGCATGGGGGAGGGTTGCCTCAAGGAGGGGGGCACCGAGGGGGGCCCGAGGAGGGGGGACCTGGCCATCCCGCACATGGGGTAAGCAGGGCTGCTGGGGGTCTGGGGCCCCAGGGAAACAGTGGCCAGTAGATGGGACCCCGGGACCAAGCAGCTGGACAGGCCCGGTCAGAGCAATGGTGAGGCCAAGCGGCTCAGAGGGCTGCAGGGAGCCGGAGGAGGCCGCTGGGGCCTTGGGGTGACGCCCGCCCCCCCCCCCCAGGTGGACGAGGTTGATAAAGGTCTCCTCAGGTTCCAGAGGTTGGAAGAGCTGGTCCTGAGTGCCAACCGCATCCGGGAGATCGACGCTGCCCATCTGCCCCCGACCCTCAAGGTGGGCCCTGGCCAGCAGTGCTTTGGCCCTGGCTCGGGGCTGGAGGCTGAGTACCAGCCCAGGCTTTGGGGTGGCTGAGGCCGCCCAATAGTGACACGCTGGGGCCTGTGCCCTGACCCAGGGGCCACTCAGGGGCTTCCGGTCCCCAGTGGCCAGCGCCTTGGTGGTCAGGGGGGCAGGGGCAGCTGGGTGGCACTTGGGCTGCTCCTGTCTGGGGAGGAAGCGGAGCCGGGCACTGCCAGCGTGGCCTGGCTCTCCTCCCAGGGGCCATCCAGACACTGGTGCCCACTCCGCCGCCTGCTGGCCCAGCACCTGCCCTGGGTGTCCCTGTGCCCCCGGGCAGCCTGGCCACCCGCCTCCCATGCCAGGTGCTGGAGCTGTACGGCAACCAGGTGGGCAGTCTGCAGGGCCTATGTGCCCGGCCACCCCCACTCCTGCAGCACCTGGGGCTCGGCCATAACGGGCTGCTGGGCACCCTGGACAGCGCCTTCCTCGCCTCTGGCCACTGGTGAGAGCGGGGTGGGGGTGAGGTGGTGGGGGGTGCTTGCCTCTGAGAAGACCCCGCCTGGTGCTGGCTGCGGGCCCAGGGTCCCAGCCACAGTGGACGCCCCTCAGGCCTCTGCATCCGGGTGGCCCTGTGGGGCTGTGCCCGGGCCCCACCCTTCGCGGGGCGGGGGCCTGTCCTGGGCGGGCAGCGCGCTGGGCGGCCCTGGGTGGCCTCTTCTGGACGTCTCGGGCCGCCCGGGAGAGGCTGGTGGCGGACTGGCCTCTGAGCCCCGGCGTCGCCCCCAGGCCCAACCTGGTCTCCCTGGACCTGAGCTTCAACGGCCTGACAGGCCTGCAGCGAGTGCTGGCCGGCCTGAGCTCGCTGCCCCGCCTGCGGCTGCTGCTGCTGCAGGGGAACCCGCTGGCGCTGGTGCCCTACTACCGCGGCCTCACGGTGGACAGCTTGGCCCGGCTCTGCGTGCTGGACGATGTCACCGTGTCCCCCGGCGAGAGGCGCCAGTTCCGGGGGCTGAGCCGCAGCGGGGGTGAGGGCCGCCCCGGTGGCCTCACGGCGAGGCGGGGTGACTGTCAGGGGCTGGGGCTGCACCCGGGGGGCGGCCGAGGGTCTGTCGGCTCCCGAGGCCGTGGCGGCGGCCGCGCTCCTGCCGGTAGAGGCCGCTGCCCCTGGGGCCCCACACCGCGTCCCCCGCAGAGCTGCTGGCGCCAGAGGCGCAGCTCGTGGTGACGATCGGAAACGCCGTGGGGCTGCCGGACCCCAGCGCCCGGGAGCCAGACCCCGGGCCACAGGGCCCCTTCGTCGCCTACAGCTACTACGTCACCTATGACTTCGTGGAAGACGAGGGCAGCAGGGGCGACCAGTACGGCAGTGTGCTGGCCGAGGTGGGCCCTGCCCTGCCCCGCCCCACCCCTGCCAGGTGCCCTTCCTCCCATAGGACTCCCACCCAGTCCCCTCCCCCGCTAGGTCCCCCTCTCTCCCCCCCAGCACCCATGGCCTCCCGCACCCCTGTTCCTGGCTCCTCCCACTTGCACCCCTCACCCACCTGCTCCTGGCTGCAGCCGCCCCCCCCATCCCGCCCCCCGCAGATCGTGCAGCCATCGCCCTCAGAGCAGCTGGGCGACGACTCTGGGGGCGAGCCGGACGGCTCGCTGACCTCTGCGGAGTCCCCGGGGTCGGAGCCTGAGGAGTCGGCTGTGCTGGCCGCGCTGCCCAAGTCCACCAATTCGGCAGAGGAACTGGCCAAGCTGCGCCCCAAGATCGACACCCGGCTGTTCCCATCCCCAGGGTGAGGAGGAAGACGTGGGCCCAGAGTCCAGGCCCCCTGTCCCTGTGTGGCCTCCGCTTTGGCCAGTTCTGTTTATTGAAACCAACTGACCCAGCTCCGTGGGACACGCCAGTGACGCCTACGGGGGGCTGAACCCACAGAATGGCATTTGTGCTCCCGGTTCTGTGCAAGCACTGCCCAGAGCCCCCAGCCAGTGCCCCCCCCCACCGCGTGTCCTTGCTGGATACTTGACGGCTGGGAGTCCCAGGTCTGGCTCCCGGGTCCGGCTGCCCGCTCCTCGGACACCTGAAAGTGGCCCGCTCCAAGGCTGCCAGTGGAGAAGTGGTCACCTCCCCCCCCAGCAGTCACCTCCCCCCAGTGGTCACCTCCCCTCCAGCGGTTGTCACCTCCCCCAGTGGTCACCTCCCCCGAGCGGTCACCTTCCCCCCAGGGCCCCCAAGGTCGCGGCATCTGCAGAGCCAGCTGTAGGCCAGGTGCTTGCCCAGGCGGCCGTGCCTGTCTGGCCCTGCGGCCTCTCGCTCTGGCCTGGTGCCCCGTGCGTGGGTCGCACCTGTTCCTGGGGGTCTGGCTCACCCCTGCACGGCCCCCAGTGCGCCCCCGCCCCCCACGGCGCGTCTGGGTCCAGCCAGGGCTGCACTCGTGAGGGGAGGGCCCTGGGTGCCCACGGGGCGGCGCTCGTGGACTCGGTCTTAGCGCCCGGTGTCCCAGCCGACGCCCCCTCCTGCGCCCCCAGGACAGTCCTCTTCAGCACAGCGCACAAGCCCTGGTCCGAGGTGCTGTCCTTCGGCTACGAGATGCACCACACGCTCTCGGCCCTGGTCCCGCTCAAGGCCTTCCTGCTGTCTGGGACCACGGTGACCATGGTGGAGGAGAAGGTGGGCGCCGCCTGCCCTGGCCCGTGTC